TTACATACAGTATGTACAATTGTGCAAAAGATTTTGTATAATCGAGTTCATACATACTCCTAGAATACAGAATGAAATGGCCGATGCTTTTGCCACCATCGCTTCAATGATTAAACATCCAAATAATGATTATATTTATTCTCTACATATAGAGCTGAAAGAACATCCAGTCCATTGTTCACATGTTGAAGCAGAACAAAATTGTTTACAATGGTATTTTGATATAAAGAAGTATTTGGAGTCCAAAAATTATCCTGAAGATGCTACATCCAACCAGAAGAAGTCGATACGCCGTATGGATCTCAATTACTTTCTAAGTGGAAAAGAACTATATAAGAGGACTCTAGATTTGTGTCTTCTCAGATGTGTCGATGTTGTTGAAGTTGTGAAACTTACTGAACAGATACTTGGTGGAGTTTGCGGTACGCACATGAATGGACTCACTTTGGAAAGGAAGATCCTGCGAGCTGATTATTTTTGGATGACTACGGAGAATGATTGTCGCATGCTTGTGAAGAACTGTCACAAATGTCAAGTGCACGATTATTTGATCCAAGTGCCGACTCACGAACTTAATGTTATGAGTTCACCTTTGCCATTTGTAGCTTGGGACATGGATGTCATTGGTCTGATAGAACCAGTCGCTTCTAACAGACACATATATTTTTTGTTGCCATTAAATACTTCATCAAGTGGGTGGAAGCAGCTTCGAACAAGTCGGTGACAAGGAAAATTGTAGCTGATTTTCTTCGCAATAATCTGATATGTAGGTTCGGAATATCTGAATCCATCAGTACTAACAATGGTGCGAATCTCAACAGTCACTTGTGAGAGATATATGTGATCAATTTAAGATCACTCACCAGAACTCAACCGCTTATCGTTCCCAAATGAATAAAGCTATAGAGGCCGCCAATAAGAATATAAAGAAGACTCTGAGGAAGATGATTGACAATCAGCGATGTTGGTACGAGATGTTGCCAAATGCTTTCTTGGGATACCGAATGAGTGTTAGAACATCATTGGGGCTACTCTATATTTGCAAGTGTATGGAACAGAAGCATTCATACCTGCTGAAGTCGAGATACCATCTTTGAGAATCATCCAAGAAGCTGAGTTGAGTAGTGCTGATTGAGTAAGCAAGCGGATTGACCAATTGACATTGATTGATGAGAAGAGAATGGTTGTCGTTTGTCATGGTTAGCTATATCGACAGAGAATTATTCGTGATTTTCACAAGAGAGTCATAGACAGAATTTTTGAAGTTGGTCAGCTGGTCCTTAAGAGCATCTTTCCTCATCAAGATGAGTACAAAGGAAAATTTGCACCAAATTGCCAAGGTCCTTACATGGTTCACAAAGTATTATCTGGAGGATCTTTTGACCTGTCGGAGATGGATGGCTTCGCATGGCCGAAACTGATCAACTCCGATGCTGTCAAGATATCCTACATGTGAAGCTTTGGTTTGAGTTTTTGTTATTTCCTCATAATTGTTTTATTGGTTTGTAATTGTTTCGTTTAATGTTATATCCCTCTTGTAATGAACTAGGTTCGACCTGAATTTTCAAAAATGAGATACGTAGGCGGCCTATGTCGGCCTTAGTTGGTTTCTTTGTAAAATTTCTTATCGATATTAGTCTTGGGGGAACTACGTTTGACCTGATTTTTCCCTCAACGGGATACGTAGGTACCATAAGGGTTCGGTCATATCTCCCATAAGTTTTCTTTTCCTCTTTATATAGAAACCGGGACAGAATTTTTGGGACTCAAATATTCTCGATAAGAATATTACTCCTCAACAAGTCAAGACGAACGATATGTCGAGATTTACAATTGGGACAAAATGTTTTAGAGGATCTAAAAAATTCAATGATTTGCTCACCAATAGTCAAAGATGAATTTGAGACATGCAACAGGGAATGAAATTTAGAGGATGACCTCAAAATTTAAACATGGTTTTATTGACTGTCTAGAGTGACTTTGAATACTCCCCAGCAAATAATAAGATAGACCTCCAAGTATCAGGCTCAAAGAAGTTCGTTAAGCCAGACGTGACATGACACTTTGCAGTGACCCCAACATACTACATCTCAAAAATTTATTTTCTTAAATATTTTCCTTTTATGTTTAATTTTTTTAGCATAAAACATTTTGTCTTTTCTATCAAAGGTCGGGAGATTAGAAAAACAACCGGAGACAGAAGGACAAGGAGCAGACAAATAAAGGAATCAACACAGATCAATTCATTTTAAATTTAACAATTTTTCTATGGACACATGTATATAGTTTTACTTTGAAATCAGGAAATTCCTCCGATCGACGAATGTGAGAAGTCAAGGGGGGCAAAGGCATCTCCCAATTTAAAACTTTTCTATTGATGCAGGAATTGTTTATATTGCTCATATCGAAGAGTTGAAAATGTAAATGTTTTATTTCAATCAGCTCTAAACAACAAGAAGTCCATAAGGATCGTCTGGCTAGGTTCAATGATGAATCAAATGAAAACCTGGGAAATAATAGTTTATAATTTTCGTCAAGGACGTCATCTGCATCACATTATTAGACACGATAGTGTCGCTAAAAGAAAGGACATTTTATCGGTATTGTCGATTGAGACGATACATTACCCGGAAAGGTCAACTTATTTTATTGTCGAGGTAATGCACTACCCGTAAGGTTTCATTTATTTTATTGTCGGTCAAGACAATACACTATTCGGAGGGGTCATTTATTTGTATTGTCGACTGAGATGATACACTACCTGAAGGATCAATTTTTTTAATTTTATTTGAGACTATATCATAATAAAAAAGGCACCTAGAAGAAAACTATGTTGCTCGATTGAAGCACTATATTCATTTGGTATCATGGATGACATCACGAATCAATATTCATGCATCACGAAAGATCATGTATCGCGAGTCAAATTCATGTATCACGGAAGATCATGCATCAAGAGTGAATATTCATGCATCGCGGAAGATCATGCATCGCGAGTTAATACTAATGCATCAATGAAGATCATGCATCGCAAATTAATACTCATGAATCACGAAAGATCATGCATTGCGAGTTAATATTCATGCATACAAGAAAGATATTCATGCATCGCAGAAAGTTATGCATAGCGAGAAGATATTCATGCCTCACAAAAAATTATGCATCGCGATAAGATATTCATGTCTCACAAAAATTTATGCATCACGAGAAGATATTCATGGGCCGCAGAAGATCATGCATCGTGGGTTAATACTTATGTATCACGGAAAATCATGCAATGCGAGTTAATATTCATGCATCGTGAGAAGATATTCAAGCCTCGTAGAAAGGTATGTATCACAATCATGCCTTGCGATTAAATATTCACGCATCACGAGAAGATATTCATTCCTTGCAAAAGCTATGCATCGTGATAAGGTATTCATGCCTCGCAAAAAGTTATGCATCGCGGGAAGATATTCATGACCCGTAAGAAATTTTGCAATGCCGGGAAATTAATCGTCATCTCAGGAGATACGTTAACCCATCGGCATAAACTGCATTCTTTTATTTTGATAAAAGTAAACATCATGAAGATTATCGAAGACGACGTCAAGAGAAATTTGAACAATTCATTATCTTTTACTTATTTCAGCATCAAACGAAGAGTATATGGAATATTATATTACAAGCATAAGAAAGAAGCTTTATTTGCTTTACATCGAACCGAGAAAGTTGATATCAAATGTTGAAGGAGAGAATCTAAGTGTCAATGCGGTAAAAGTCACCATCGCCCATTTGAATTGCATTTTAAAGCTGACTCAGTCTCTGTCAAGAGCATCCGAAAAGATGAATTATCCCAAAAATACAACAGGTACGGACAACATCATAAAGGATGCATCACAACATGAAACTTCTTCTTAGATGCGAACTGGGACATAGTCCAAAGAGGAGTGTCAAACTCTTAGGATAAGAGCAGAGGAGGGAATTCACCACAATCAAACAACACCCCTATCAGAAGGCATGTGGATTTTTGTTTGGATTTTGTCAGTTTTGGTTTGCATCCGGATTTTTGGTGTGTGCAGGAGGAAAGTTTCCGCTCATATTGACAATGCGCCAAGAGTTTTGGAAATTATGTCCGTGAAAGTTCTTAACTATGGGTGTTAAACATGCCACATTCTTGGCTAAGAGGTTACAAGCCTTCTTTTCATACTGATTTAATTTGTCACTTTTCCAAAACCAAAGGTCATCTAGCATAATAGATTTCCTTTTCCATCGATTGAATCGAGCTAAAAATAGCCTGATTCCTAAGGTTTAAGGATATGTAGGCGGGCTTAATGTTAAAAACTTGGTTGTATTCCAACATTCGCTTATCCCTTCATATTACGGTACTGGAATAAATGTTGAATTTTATGAAATCTTGTGTTAAATCAAGCGTATCAAACTACAGGCGCCCTAAATTCTCATATAGCCTTAAATATGTAGGAAACCCGATGCCTGGGTTAGGCCATAATTCCTGAAGCATATAGCAAGTTTTTATTGGAAAAATGAATATGTGGTCGGTCAAAATGGGTTTGGTCAAATTCATTTTCTTCGAATTTCTTGCATTAATCCAAGTAAAATGAGTGACAGTTTTTTACACCCAATTTTTACCCTCCCCGACAAATTAATTCACAAGTTTCTTAAATTTTGAGAGTTTTAAAATAATTAGCTTTATAAAATTCAAAATATTTTTCAAGTTATTTCAAAGTAATTTTAATAGCTTTTATAATTGTAAGATAGTATATATGTCCTTTATATAATTAGCTTATTTTATAAGTTTTAAAAAATCGTCAACAAAATATATTATTTTAATTAAATACTTGGTTAATTAGTTTAATTACTTAATTGTTTATATTTTTGATTAAGCTAATTATTTAGTTCGTTAAGTTTGAGAAGATCGTAAATTGGTTATATTAATTCGTCTTACTCTTTTTTTTTATTTAACAAAATTCACAATAGCTTCAGCCAACAAACCCATTTCACAAAATTAATTCCCAGCCCAATCAATGTTTTTTGTAGCAACCCAGTTCCCCCATGACCCCTAACCCATCAAAACTCCAGCCTTTTTGTTCCTAATACTCGATCCATTTTTTCCTTCCCCAAAAGAATTCAGTCTTTCCTGATGTACGCAACATTTCCCCACGCCTTGCTCTATCCGTTTTCCTCACGGCGTGGGGAGAAACAATGGTCCCCAAAAAGTGTGCCACCAGCAGCAAATGCGACGACAACGGTTCCAGCAGCAGGCGCGTGAACAATGTACCCATCTCTTCTACTTCGATGTCTTTCCAAACTCGATACTTTCTCCTTTCTGCGCTTGTACGAGCCCAACAGCAGCTCCAGGCACGCGAGAGTCGTCTTTGGGACGACGAGATTGAGCCATGTCACCATTCCAAGGGTGATGAAACCATCTATACCCTTTCGCCCCATCTAGAATAGAGCCACAAGCCTCAGAAAAAGTTGTTGATCCCAAATTTGTGGAAGGGACAAGTTTTCAAATTTTGAAATAACCCTTGGTTTTGGTCGATTCTGCCCTCACCTCTTCCTTTAAGAAAACCCTAATCGTCCTCTATGTATCTCTTTCCTATTCACTGTTTGAGGGGAGTTAGGGGGGGGGGGTTATTTTTTAGGTAGAGTATTTTTTTTTTTGAGTTTAAAAAAAGGGCGAGCAATTTTTTTCTTTGGAATTCAACTCCTTTAAGTTGGTTTACAACTAGCAGGAGGACACTGAGACAGACGGAACTTGGGAAAAGGAGTTTGATTTTTCTAGTTGAATTTTTTTTTGGGAAATTCCTTGATCAGGAACGTCAAGGGCAGCTTATAGAAACATGATAAGACATTCGAAACAGAGTTATGTTCTAGTTTTCTAGTTGCGTCGTGTCCTCTCAAACCCCGTTTGAAGTCGAGCTTTGTGGTCGGAAGATTGTGTTTGTTCAGCTCGCTCTATCTCCAGCTCGCGGCACTCAAAAAAGTAAAACATCCCTCCGTTTCATTTTTTTCTCGCCTCTGTCTTAGTCTCACAATAATGGTTCAATGTTGAAGAGTCTTGTTACATAGTTTGTCTCTGTTTATATCCATTATTTTGTTAACCTAATATGTATTGTTTTCTCGGCCTTTTTGACCAAATAGAGATAGTGTTTCTGTTGAAGTATCGTGAAACCTTGCTTAATGTTGTTGTCTCTCTATGTCACTTGGCTTTAAGTTAAAGTCGTACTGTAAATTTCATGTCTTCTTTTAACTAAGATGGATATAATAGAAGACTGGTTTTATTTCAGAAATTAAGTTCTATAATGCGTTTCTTCGTGCTATTTTTTTTCTTTTCTTTCAATTATTTTTTCTTTAAGCTTGGTCGGATTCTCGCCTTGATCATTTTGGATACCCTTCCGAGTTTGTTCGTGGTTAATAGACTATGTCAAGTGATTTGTAGCATGTTATTTCTTTGTTCGTTTTTCGTTTAAGATTTCTTGAATCATGAAGGATGACTTCTCGATTTTGTTTCAACGTGGTACCTCCATGATCTTACATCTTATTGTTAATCCAAACATTTTGTAGTTCACTTGAGTTTTAAGTTCCTACTTATGTCATTTTTTTTAGTTTTTGCAGTTCATCCTTGTTAATGTTTTTAAGTCGTTTGGCCGCTCAAATTATATTGCTTTTCTGAAAAAATGTCTTGGTTGATTTTAGTATTTTCTTAAAATTATTTTTTTTCTCTCTGAGCTTTCATTCTTCCTTTAATGCCATTTGTTGATATTTTGTAAATTATTGTAGTTACATATCTTCCTAGAGAGTCGCCTCATAATTGATCTTCACCCTAAGAGGAGATTCTAGAAGGATAAATACTAAAGACTAATAAACTAGCTCAACTAGGCAACTTAAGTATTTTACATTCCAATGTAACAACCCATAATATGGCTCCTCCTGTTAGTGCCTGTAATTAAGTTATTCATTTCTAATCTCCTAATGAGCACCCTTTATAAAGAGGTGCTAGCTCTCTAATTGTATTGGTACCTTAAAATATGTTTTACACAAAAGCAAGTGTTTAATGTGCTGGTATTTTATTCATAAATATAACTTTGTTGTTAAAATGTCAAACTACTTTGTCTCATTGAATGGGTTTACGTATATGTGTTTCTGCACGACCTGACTGTCCACAACATTTATTAGCATTTATATTATACAATATCGTTGCTGAATTTTCAATTGTTATTTTATTAGTTGTAGTTGTTTCTCTTTTACTATAGTTTTCTTTCTTCCTTCCCTTGTTATTCGAGATGTGTAATAGATTGTAGTCTTTAAGCTTTCATCCTTTGTTTAGCCCTAAATACATGCCTTTGTAGTTGAAAATGATGCTTAACTTAGTTGTAAGTTTTGACATCTGTGCTTGCTCCATTTCTTTAGTTAAAGTCATGAAATTGTTTAACATCTCTCTTTTAACAATGTCTTATTTGTTTCGAGGCAGTAGCATCATTTTGTTAATTGGGTATACTATTTTGTTCATGGGTTTAAATGTTCAAGTTCATTCATTAATAAATGGGGTATTATTGTCTTTGCATAATTTCCTATTGCATTTTTTAGAAGAAGACTTAATCACATTAGCTTCAATAGGTCACTCTATTCTTCCCGATAATTGTTTCCTCATTATAATTTATGTCTAAATAATTATTTCTAAATCTACTACCTCTAGTCACTATTGGCCTCATTGTTTAGTTATCGCTACTATTTAATGTTTTAACATATTATGTGAAGTTAGTTTAATATAAGCGAAAATTCATTAAATATTCCATGTTTTACTTTTCAGAACTTGGAGGTAAACTAGTCACACATTTTATTATTATTTTTATTTTTGGGTGTTAGTTGCGTTATATAGAATCAAAGTATACTATGTTATTGATTGCTATTTTATTTCATTCTCTTCTATGTTTGAACAGGCCCTCCCGAATCTCTGGAGACTCTTCCCCTCATATTTTGGAAAAATCAAAGACTTATACTTCCATCCATCGAGTCAATCCACGTATTCAACGCACAGGTCCCGAAGCGGAAGAAGTTGAAGAGATTGGGCCTCAAAGAACCAAAGTCAGTTGAAAGATTGTATTTCGGGCATAAGCCCTTGTCGTCTTATTTTATTTTATTTTATTTATTTATTGATTATTGTAAGATTAGTTTAGAATAGGTACAAACACAAATTGGTCAAAAAATCCAAAAAAAGTTGGTCTAAATATCGGTCTAGGAGAACATATAACCCGGATTTTGACTCAACTCTCTCTCTCTCTCTCTCTTTCTCTCCCTCTCTTATTCTCGTTTATTTATCTGCTTTTATTTGTCGGTAGTTTTAAAGTTAAAAGAATCCAATTCCTTGTAAACGCCGTAAACACTTTGTCGACTGAAAATTAATTTCAAACATATTTTAAATGAATGAATAAAATTTCAATCCAATTCTCACTTAAATAGTAAATTAATTATTTTGTTTCAAACAAACCCAAAGCTAGTTTTATCTTACAATCAAAATTATCTTTTTAGCCAAACTAAGATAACCGCACGTTAGCGGACATCTTAGGTTCTTTCCAAAACATTCCTAAGACGTTAATAAAAATCTCCGAACCCTCTTAAAATTCTTTAAATTGATTTTCTATTTTCAATTAAATGGAAGATCATTTTTCTTGATTTTTCTCTAAAATTAAGTGGCGACTCTAAAAAAGTCAAAAACGTATAAAAAATATTATTTTTCTAAAAGAAATAAAACAACACTTGCAACTCTCTGAACACATCCATGAATAAAGATTGAACTAGCAGCTCATGACCATACCATGTAACACATAATCAAAGAGAAAACATCAATTCCACATAATGAAGAGATTCACAACATAACAAGAAACTAGAATAGATTTTACAACTCATTATGCTACAAAACTCATATGCTTCATTCCAAATAGTGAAAACTCATTTTACATTAAAAATCATAGTCATATACATTAGTTCTAACCACATTACCACTATTTTATATCAAAGAATCAACTAGTCAAATTTTAAAAATCTTCAAAGTGAGTAGACATTGCATTACAATGATTTTTGAAAAATTTTCAAAAATTCAAATTTTAGGCAATTCATGATAGAAATATGTTAATATGCAAAGTAACATCATATAACATATCTTACAACATAATAATGTCTTCATTAAATACAAAAACAAGAAGTTAATGAAATTCAATTTCAACCAAACTCCTAAACACCACACATTTGCAACAACTTCTAGAACTTTCTATCCCATCTACTAACCATACTACCCGACTTATAATGAACTCCTATATCTATAAATAAAAACGAGGACTTACCCTCATCATCATCATCACCATCCGGCTTCTCTCCTCTAGACCGGAGTGCATAGAAATGCCTCTTTGTTGGAGCATCATCCTTTGGATCACTAGAAGCAACTTACTTACCCTCTCTTCGTATAGAAGCAATGTTAGGACAATCTCTCACCTTATGATAATACTTTCCACAAACAAAGCAAACACTAATACCGGCTAGACACTTCCCATAGTTCATCTTTCCACAAGTTACACATGTAGGCTTTTAATTTTGAGAACCACCCCTTTTTCAAATTTCACCTTAGCACTCCTAGGTTCTTCTTGAGTTTGAACCCTCTTCTTAACCCTAGTTTGCTCATGGTCAGTAAATCCACCCCTTTTTAAGTTTTTATCCATCCTCTTAAGTTTAGACTCTTCAATTGATTATGCACACACATGAGTCTAGGTACATCCATATCATCGTGTAACATCGTCGTACGACATTCTTCCCTTACTAAGTCGGCGACCCCGGTCACAAAGCGACTCATTTCATCCCTTGTATTTGGCACAAGATATGGAGCATATTTGGACAACTTAGAGAACTTCAAAGATTATTCCTCAATAATCATATTAACTTGCTTAAGATTGATAAACTCCTCTACCCTAACATCCCTCATCTCAAAGGGAAAGTACTTACCCAAAAAAACTTCCTTAAATTCTTACCATTCAATAGGACCCGACTACTCCGGCCTATTGCCTTTCCATTGTGAGTACCACACTTGAGCCACAACTTTCAATTGATACGAAGCCAATTCTGCTTTCTCCCAAGATGTCACTCCCATAACATGCACTATATTCTACACCTCATCTATAAACTCTTGGGGATATTCTCCAACCTTAGAGCTAAGAAATATAGGTGGATTCATCCTTACAAAATCTCTCAACCTAGAGGTCATAGTGCTCTCCACTACACTCTCCCTACGCACCATACTCAAATTCACTTGAGTAGTCACGGCTCGGGCTAAATCAAGAAATGTCTCTCTAATATCCTTACTACTCAACTCTAGGGGCTCATCACTTCCTCCCACAACACGGACTTGAGCACCTTGAGGAACCTTCTCAACTTGAGGATGAATCTCCTCTTGCACCTCGTTCTCCTCAACTCTTCTAGCCGATGTCCTCCTCGTATTCATCTTCCGAGAAACACAAAGAAAACCATAAGAACAGAGTACTCAGAAATTTTACTCTACGAAATGAAATAGGAGTAGAAAAGAAGAGAAAATATATCGTCCTATAGCCTCTCGCCCATAAATTTGTCCAACTCACACTCATGGTCAAGACTGTACCAGATGTTACTTGATGAGACTTTTCAATTCCTAATACTACTTTCATAACCTATGCTTTGATATCAAGCTTGTCTTATCCCAAAACTACACCCTAAAATATAGGGGCAATCATGGATTGCAACAGGCATACTTGACCTCTCAAAGGTCTTGTACAAGCCCTTACATATCATTCATCGCATATACATAATGAAAAGTAGTGCGGAATTAAAACTTTTCACAAAAAATATCATAGTACTTAAAAAATCTCTTTCATATAAATTCATAGAAAATACTAAGTGTCAATCTCATCAAACATAAGACACGAGGATACTTGGGACATGGCCCATATACATACTAGTATAAAATTACTTAGTCTATTAAACAAACTTTAAATAGAAACATAAAAGACAATTATGCCCTCAAATCAAATCAAGATATACTTCGACTTCTCTTGAACGATGCTATGGTCCAACTCTTCCTTCTCAAATGCTCCTGACTTACCAACAACTATAGAGATAGATAAAAGCATAGAGTTTAGTACAACAACATGTACTTAGTATTGCATAATGCAAAAAAATCATGAAAACAGACATTTATAAAAAAAAATGCATCTTTTCATTTTAAAAATCATATTATAATCATAAGAACAATATTTAACAACTTAGAAACACATAAGATAACATTTAAATGAAATATCGTAATTTTAATGTCACTTTTCACTGAACCCATTTCACTGTTATAGTGATGTTACTTCATTGTACAGTGAAGTTACTTATCTTCACCTTAGACATCTTCTAATATGTAATAGTCCTACTTAAAGCTATCCCTAGACTCACTTAAGCAACACAAAGAGAGACCTCCCATACAACCTCCATAAGCATGCCTAAATGATACTCAAGACTACTTATAATGAGTGACATACATACTTCAAGACATGAAACATTTCAACATACGGATAATATGTCATTTCCTCATCAAAGGATATAAAAATACTTATTTGAGTACATCAAGAAGAGAATTTCCATCATTAACCTATTCAAGACTTATGACTTCATAAGTTTGGATCATGTCCACATAACCAACATTTCCTTAGAAATAGTCATTCTTAAGACGCATCTAGGTAAGATACGAAGTGACCATTCCTATGCCCCTTCACACCTTAACTAGAGAACCCTTAACTACTCTTTATGAGTACTTATTCCATTTACATACTTCATAACATAAGTCATTAGTTAATTAGTTCATTGAGATTCATACATCACATAATGGACATTCAAGTAGTGATCTTGGACAAGACCAGGGAACTCCCAATAACAATTTTAATGTCTATTGTGTAATGTCTAGATAGCGTCTCATACCACCACCTAAACTGTATAAAACTTCTTAAATGATAATATGTATTCCATATGATGAGACTACAAAATAACAGACATACACCATGATAGATAGACATGGAATCCGGAGTTCTAACCTACTCCGATGAGGGTGTTCTACTTGCCAAGGGTAGAACTAGGACACATCCCATGTAGGCACATGGTTACGGAATATGAAGGGCTTTTTATGCACTCTTATTCTCAAGTAGAGGTACATCGTACTCTAGCCTCATTCTCAAGTAGATACACTTCCCTTAACATAATAACTCGGTGCTAGCCTTGATTCTCATATAGTAATTGACATTAAAGGATCACATGAAGAGGTTCCTTATCTAGTTCATAGCTCAATCACATTCACCCTAAAAAAGAGGTCCACTAGGGATACCTTTTAGTGCAGACTGAGATAGCTCATTATGACTTTCATAAGGATTAATATGATGTCGTTTCAGCCAATTAACCATAATTCTACCATTCCTTTACATGGAAATACAATTACGGCTCTCGACCTCAACATTCATAGCATAAACTTTACCATATACACAACCTTCCTAACATCCTCTAAGGTCTGACATATGACAAGGTTTCACAAATACTACCTAGTCCAGACATATCATAATCTCATAACGTTCATACATGTATCAAGTAAGGGAGACAAGTCTATCAAACAAGACACATTTTCTTTTACCTTATAACATATAACATATCATTATCTAAAGAACTTAGGATGACCCTTATAATCTTTGTGTAACCCTATACACTACTACAACATCATTAATATAACAATTTTGTACTCATAGTCAAGTAGGACCAATGATGCATTAATCCTAAGACTACACACATAAGCATATAGTCATAGTCTAACAAAATCTCCTAATATATATAAAAATTTCACATTACTAGCATATTGGTAGATATTATCATACTTCACATAATAACCTACACAAATAGCTACATTAATTAAAATAGTTTGCCGATAAGGCCATGATCATCATAATACATAAAGTAACACCGACAAGGCCACATCAATTACAAGTAAAGCACATAACACCACCACCATAAGTGCAACATACCAATACCAATATATTGAAGCCTAATTAACATCAAAATAAAGGAAATAGGGAATCTTACCACCACAACATCCTCAACACCTCAATTCGATGCTAAATCATCCAATTAAATACCATAAGACCTTTACCAATGGCCATGAACAATAATTCAAGATAGAAACTATGATAATCAATGAAACTAGGTCAATTAAATGTAAATTCATATATCTAATATAACC